ATTATAAGCTGATTACCACAAACAGGCAAATTGACATATCCATCATCTCACAGCTACAATTTAGTTTTTCTGGTGAGACTAATTAAGATTGACTTAGCAAATTTCAAGTATACAACACAGTACTGTTAACCACCATCATCATGCAGAGCATTAGATGCCCAGAACTTACTTATAACTGAATATTTTAACCCTTTTTCTGAAGGACAGTTTTGTCAGATAGAGTATTCCTGGTTGGCAAATTTTTCTTTCACAAGAAAAATATATCATCTTATGCCAAAAAATCCACTTACAGCCTTATGGGGTTGCTTTGTATGTAATGAGTTGTTTTCTGTCATACTCCTTTCAAGAGTCTCTTTTGGCCTTTGACTTCTGACAATTTGTATAACATGTTCCAAAGTAACCTTGTTCAGGGTCCTTTTAGCTTCATCTGGATATCCATATCCTCTTTAAGATTCAGAAAATTTTCAGCCATTATTTTTAAAATAAGTTTTCTTCTTTCTTTTTCTTTCTCCTGTTTGGACTTCTAAGTCATGTATATTCATTTGTTTAATGCTGTTCTCTAGGTCTTGCATGATTTTGCCACTCTTTTGCATTCTTATTTTTGTTCCTACAACTAAAGCTAAATAACCTATTTTCAAGTTGGCTGATTCTTTGTTCTTCACAATTGAGTCTGCACTATTGAAACTCTCTATCAAATTTTTGGTTCTGTCACTGTAGTCTTCAGCTCCAGGATTTCTGTTTGACTCCTTTCATGGTTTCTATTTCTCTATTATACTCCTTGATCTATTAAGTACTGTTTTTTTTTAAATTTTATTTAGTTGTCTATCAATGTTCTCTTGCATCTCAATAAGCTTTTAAAACATGATTTTAAAAATTCTTTTTAGAAAACTGGTCTTTTTCCATTTATTTGGTTTGGTTATTAGGGCTTTGCTAGTTTCCTGTTGTGATATCATGTCTGCCTGATTCTCTGTGATCTGTGTAGCCATGTATTGGTATGTGTGCATTTGAAGGAGCAAACATGTCTTCTGGTGTTTGTAGATTGGTTTTGGCAGGTAAACACATTCTTCTGTTGGGTTCCTGGGCTGACAGAATTGCCTCTGGGATTTCAGTGAAGCAGAAGTAAAGCCAGGTCATTTCAATTATGGTTTCCTTGGGTATACATGCCCAGGAGTGGGACTGCTGGATCATATGGCAGTTTTATTCTAGTTTTTTTTAAGGAATCTCCATACTGTTCTCCATAGTAGCTGTATCAATTTGCATTCCAACCAACAGTGTTAGAGGGCTCCCTCTTCTCCACAGCCTCTTCCGCATTTATTGTTTGTAGACTTTTTGATGATGGCCATTCTGACCAGTGTGTAATGATACCTCATTGTAATTTTGATTTGCATTTCTCTAAAAATGAGCAACATTGAGCATCTTTTCATGTGTTTCATTTCTTGTTAAAACACATCCATGTCTCCTCACTCCAATTTTTTTTTGTATTTGTATTTTTCAAAACAATGTTACTGTGGTGTATTTTACGTATCATAAAATCTACCTTTTCAAGTACACAGTTCAATGTTTTTTATTAATTTTACCAAGTGGTGTAGTTATCACCATAGAAGAGTTTCAGAACATTTTCACTGCCTTAAATAACACCCCTCTGGTGTTATTTAAATGTATAGCTACTCTCTTATCCAATCTCTTATACAAGAGAGTATAGTATACTCTCTTGTACTCTGTTATACAATCACAGTCTCCTGGCTCCCAACCCCTAGACAATCATAAATCTGTTTCTATGAATTTGCCTTTTCTGGCCATCTCATATAAAGGGAATCATACAATATACCTATAGTTTCTTGACTCTACAAAACAAAACTAGAAATTTTTTTGGTCTTTAAGAAAAATCACACATTCAAGGAAATGCATAACCTTTCAAATAAAACATTACAATAAATATTGTTAGAAATCTAAAAGACTAAAAATAATCCTCTTAAGTTCTAAAATTAAATTCTGAAAATAATATAGTAACTACAGTGTTAGAAACATGAAAAATTATCATTTATCTATGTCACATGTTGAAATAGATAATAATATAGCTATCCCTTAAATGTTAAATCATTTTAACATCTTAAACTTTACATATACTATGTATTTTCCCTTTCTCTTTTTAGGCTGGATGTGTGACTTTCTCTTCCAGGAGAATTTTTAAACAGCCTGTTTACTAACATACAAGTTAATACTTACAGTTTAGTTCTTGTGTAAATGACAAAACAAATACTGTCCTTGATATTTTTAAAAGAAGAAAAATAAGATTACGACCATGTAGGAAGAAGAACTGGAATGTTCCAGCCTTGCTTAAGGGATGCATGTGTCCAACAACATCCTCATTTCTGTGTGTGCCTCTGACCTGCCAAACTTAGGCACTGTACTTACAATGTGGAGAATGACGACATTTATTCTTTCAAAGTTGGCATGTCAGAATAGAAGTTATGCTTTTCAGACTACTGTGAATTTTGGTAATGCATGCATCTGGATTACAAAAAAAAGAAAGAATTCTTGACAATATTTTAGGAATTGATGCTGTCAGTTTTAGATGATATAAATGGACAAGCTAAATGTCCTTACTGAATGAGGTGAACCTATCACTAAGCACGTGTCTTTGCCTGGGAATTCAGTATAAAACAGCTCCACTGAGCTCTAACAAAATCAAGAGAAAGTGTATTCCTAAGTTTTCCTCAAGCCATTCTAATTATGAGAGAAAGATTCTATGAAGACTAGAAAAATGATTGTTTTCTATATGATTTGAACTGTGGTGTTGGAGAAGACTCTTGAAAGTCCCTTGGACTGCAAGGAGATCCAACTAGTCCATCCTGAAGGAAATCAGTCCTGAATATTCATTGGAAGGACTGATGCTGAAGCTCCAATACTTTGGCCACCTGATGCAAAGAACTGACTCATTTGAAAAGACCCTGATGCTGAGAAAGATTGAAGGCAGATGGAGAAGGGGTTGACAGAGGATGAGATGGTTGGATGGCATCACCGACTCAATAGACATGAGTTTGAGTAAACTCTGGGAATTGGTGATGGACAGGGAGGCCTGGCGTGCTGCAGTCTATGGTGTTGCAAAGAGTTAGACATGACTGAGCAACTGAACTGAATTGAACATCCTCAAAGCCAATTTTGGACAATTACAGAAATACAGAAAAATGTTATTCATATAAATAAATAATTTTTCAAGATAGAAGTCAATCAATAAGCAATAAATGATAGCGAACTCTCTGAACTCTCAAAACATCACATTTTAAAGTGTGTTACTCCCTTATGCTTTTATTTTTACTGCCACTATCTGTAGAGTAGAAAAATAATGAACACTTGCTGATTAAAATTCACACTTCTGTTACATCTCAAGAAGCAATGGGGCTATGTTTAAGATTTGAAACTAAGAAGGAAAATGATCAAAGTCAGCCAACCTGGGAAAAATTACTGAACAAGGTCTAAACTCTAAAAATTTCAAGTTATCAAGAACATGCTGTTAGCCAAAAACCAACTCTCAAAGCTCTAGAAATCAAACTTATTGTTGAAAAATCACAGGACAGACACTTCCTCATTCTGGACATTTCAGTACCAAAGGTTCTTTCCTAGTGTTATCTTTGTTGTTAACTGATACTGTAATTTTGTTGAAAATCAAACTGTTATGTATATTGCAATGATTTTAATAAGTGCAAACAGAATGACTTTATTCACTGCTTTGTAAAGTCAATCAAGCTTATCAGATAGGGCTAACAAAAATAGATTTTGCTGAATTGCCCCCATTTTTTTCTTTAGTAGGAGCAACTAAAAAGTAAATCAATACTATGATTGATGAAATGCTTCTTGACAATCCCTTGGAAAAAAGTTGGTAAACCAAAATGAATGCTGTATTTAGAGAATAAGGGCATACAATATACTTAATACACACTGCCACACTTTGTGGTTAAGACTGAGGCAACCAATAAACTGTTAAGGAGAAAAATGGAAACGTCCCTAAGAAAAAATTTAGAGAAACCTGTTGCTGCTGCTGCTAAATTGCTTCAGTCGTGTCTGACTCTTAGCGACCCATGGACTGCAGCCTACCAGGCTCCTCTGTCCATGGGATTTTCCAGGCAAGGGTACTGCAGTGGGTTGCCATTGCCTTCTCCAAGAGAACCTGTGTATGTGTACAGAACACACACACACACTATTTTTCCCTGGTTCAAATTTATGAACTAAACAATAACTTGTTCTAGAAAGCAACTGCAAATGAAAACAGCTTCATAAGTTCATTTTTGAAATAAAAATCGGCACACTATCTGTTCTGTTACTCCAAAGACATAGAAAGTATTTACATTTTGTTTTTAGTGAAATTTATTGTAACGATTTTTTTAAATTATAGAAATAGGTTTTAAGTTACAAAAACAGATGAAAAACTTTTAAAAGGAAAAATTCTATGTTAGAAATAAATAAGATTCAGATCCCATTTTACCTATTTTAAGAAAATCATATGCCTTTTTCCTCAAGTATATCAATGAAGTTTGCTTTTAGGTTTAACAAGCAACCTAATGCTTAAAAGGCAATATTCAAAATGTGTTAGTGAGAGCTGGTTCTAGTAACAACTGTGAAATCCCCTTTCACTGCAGATAACATTGACCACTGAACATACTATGAAAAAAAATAGCATCCAAAAAAATAACTCTTCCAACATTTAATGTGAAGCTAGCATAGGTTGACTAACTAAATAATTTGTTTTAATCCAAAAAATAAAATATAACAAACCAGGAATGTTTCTGTGATAAGAACTACTAGTCAGAACATTTTCAAAAGTTACGGTAAATTTTAAACAGTTTTACTGATCGGACACGACTGAGCGACTTCACTCACTCACTGATCTGTATCCTGATGACCCTGGTGGTGGATATGTGTAAACACACCTACTTATGAGGGCCTGTACATTAGCACAGATGATGGCATACATGACACATAAACAAAAGAAACACGCTAACCTGGACAGCAACTTGGTAGCATTAGCATCCTCTGCTGAACTCATGTCATCCCAGCAGGATTTTCTCCGACTTAGCTGCAGGCTGACCTGAGGAATGCCCTCAGACAGCTCTGGGTGTGGTGCCCTGTGGGTCCAAATAGATCCCTCACTACTGGATTTGCGGATCTAAAACACAAAATTATAAAAAGAGAGAGGAATTTTTAAAAAGTTTCCAGTTAAGATACTGAAGATAGTTTATTTGAATTCATTAATAATCTATTAATCATACTCCAGAAAAATATCAATCGAGATATAGAAATAAAAATGTGTATAAAAATTCTTTTATAGCAAAGGGTACAGTGAAGGGGTGATACCAATATTTCTGAGGGGAACTTCAAACCATACATGATCCACACACCACTCCTGGACACTCAAACCAATTTTCCCCAGGCCTAACACCTCCTTAGAATACCTATTCTATGTAATGAGAGATTAAGAGACTATATAAGATGGAAACCTAGAAGAAAAGAATAAATAGCTAGAAAGAAGCAAAAGAAAATAAATCTGAGAACCAGTGAAATAAAGAATTCCAGTGTGGGAAAGTTATCCAGAAATATTCACTACCAACAAGCAAAATACATACCAGTTTTCAAGTTTCCATTGTAATCTTTTGTAGGGCAAAGCATGGTGTAATAAATTTTGAATTAAGGAAATAAATATGAAAAACACCACCTTTTTACTTTTCTTCTATCTCTGGAGTCATGGACAACACAAATGCCAAATGAATACTCAGAGTACAGACTTTTTATACTTGAGGTCTCTCCAACCCCAGAAATACTGTCACATTCTCTCATTTTAGGTCAGAAAAAAATGAGAATACAATCAATATTCTCTTCCTAAAAATGTGTAAAAATCATGTCAGAATTGCAAGAAATTTTCAAAAACTTGGATTAATTGTATTTGTTACTCTGGAAGCTTTTTCTCACCTTGAGGACTGTCTCTTGCTTGTCTTTTCACCTAGAATGCCACCTGCTGATCACTGACCAGTGACCAACCAAACCAAATCTTAACTTCCTTTGAAGGACCACAGAGCTTCACTAACTACTGTTGGGTCTAAATAACTTTTCCTAATTCTGAATTCCTATACCTCACCACTACACAATCTACACTTCATTACACGTCATATAATAGCGTAATCTTAGTTATCTCGAGTTTCTAGGTCACATGGTCTCAACCAGATTTCCCCTTCTTCTCTATATTATTTGTAACATTTTTATTGGGCTTCCTTGATGGCTCAGTGGTAAAGAATCCTCCTGCCAATGCAGGAGACACAGGTTTGATCCCTGGGTTGGGAAGATGCCCTGGAGAAGGAAATGGCAACCCACTCTAGTATTCGTGCCTGGGAAATCCCATGGAAAAGGAGCCTGGCAGGCAGTCCACGGGGTCACAAAAGAGTTGGACATGAGTTAGTGACTAAACAACAACAATTTTACCAAAAAGTCTAGCAAAGTTTTGAACCCATTAATAAACACTTATTGTCAGACAAACACTCAACTAGAAGATATTCCCAAAACACTGAGTGAACAAGAGGATAGGATAATGGACAATTAAAGAGAGTAACAAGAGAGTAGCACTGACATATATATACACTGCTGCTGCTGCTCCTAAGTCACTTCAGTCGTGTCTGACCCTGTGAGACCCTATAGACAGCAGCCCACCAGGATCCCCTGTCCCTGGGACTCTCCAGGCAAGAACACTGGAGTGGGTTGCCATTGCTTTCTCCAATGCATGAAAGTGAAAAGTGAAAGTGAAGTCGCTCAGTTGTGTCCGAATCTTAGTGACCCCGTGGGCCACAGCCCATCAGGCTCCTCCATCCATGGGATTTTCCAGGCAAGAGTACACTACCATGTGCAAAATAGATACCTAGTGGGAACCTGCTATATAGCACAAGGAATTCAGCTCAGAGATGTGATGACCTAGAGGCATGGGATAGGGGTAGGAGGGAGGGAGTATATGTGTACATATAGCTGATTCATGTTGTTGTACAACAGAAATTAGCACAACATTGCAAAAAAATTATACCCCAATAAAAAATTAAATATTAGGCTTAATGTTAAAAAAAATAACACAGGGACAATTATGAACATAAATATTTAATATATTCATACCACTATGAGGATTACATGAAAATAATTTAGCAAAGAGTTACATTTAACACCAAATAAACACTAAATAAAAGCTAGGCTTTACTAGTATAGTTGTTATGTAAAATCTGCCCAAATCTGATGATTATCAATCAACTCTTTAGCTGCATTTCTCTGCAGAATATTCATAAGTTAATGAAAATCAAAGGAAAAATTCTAAAAAAGTATGAACTAACTATAGCTCACAGCTGTACTTCCAAGAGAAATACTCAGGTAAACAGCAAAAGAATATGAAAAATATAAATACATGTGATTATATTTTTCATACAGGGGCTCCTTTTTCATGTGACTTTTCATAAGAATAAACATGAAATATCAATTAAAAAACACTGAAAAAGTAGTGCATTTTCTCTCAATATTGAAATGAATGTAGGTTCAGTGAAATTTGGGTTCTAAATTTGATTCAACAATTTATGCAAAAAAAATATTCTAAGGTACAAAAAGGTAACATGCAGCTCATTCCATCTTGGCAGTTCATATTAAAATAGACTCCATAATGAAAAGTATGAAAAGGCAAAAAGATAGGACACTGAAAGATGAACTCCCCAGGCCGGTAGCTACCCAATATGCTACTGGAGATCAGTGGAGAAATAACTCCAGAAAGAATGAAGGGATGGAGCCAAAGCAAAAACAAAACCCAGTTTTGTGAATGGGACTGGTGATGGAAGCAAGGTCCGATGCTGTAAAGAGCAATATTGCATAGGAACATGGAATGTTAGGTCCATGAATCAAGGCAAATTGGAAGTGGTCAAACAGGAGATGGCAAGAGTGAACATCAACATTCTAGGAGTCAGTGAACTAAGATGGACTGGAATGGTGAATTTAACTCAGATGACCATTANAGCAGAGCCCCATACCCAGCATTCTGGACCACCTGCTTAACATGAGTGAAGCTGTCTTGAACCTTCTAGTCTCAGGTGAACTGCTGGTTGACTGCATCAATATGCAATCCTAGTGGAGACCAGCAGAAGAGTCACCCAGATTGCCACCCATATGATCATGACAAAGAATAAATCATGATGATAAAACCTGGTGGCTCATTCAGTAAAGAATCTGCCTGCAGTATAGAACTGCCTTTGAACCCTGGGTCAGGAAGATCCATTGGAGAAGGGAATAACTACCACTTCAGTATTCTTGCTTGGAGGATTCCATGTACAGAGGAGCCTGGTGGGCTCTAGTCCCTGGGGTTGCAAGCGTAGGACATGACTTAATGACTAAACCACGACAAAACTAGTTAGTTTTGGAGTTGGTTAAACAGTGTGTGTGTGTTAGTCACTCCACTGTGTCTGACTCTTTGCAACCCCATGGACTATACAGTCCATGGAATTCTCCAGGCCAGAACACTGGCGTGGGTAGACCTTCTCTTCTGCAGGGGATCTTCCCAACCCAGGGATTGAACCCAGATCTCCTACATTGCAGGCAGATTCTTCACCTGCTGAGCCACAAGGGAAGCCCTAGCACATAAGCTAGGATCTTCTTTTTAAAATAATTCTAGTACCTAGAATCGACATATATATATATATATATATATATATATATGTATGTATGTATGTATGTATTCTCAGTGTTGTGCTGAATTAGCTGAGACCAGCAAGCAACAGGCAATTCTTCACAGCTTTGCTTTCAATAAACCAGGTTGGTAGCTTGAAACTGGCTCTGATGGGAGTATTTACACCAAGGAAATTGACAAAGCTACCAATCTGAGCCATTTTTTTGAGAGCTGTTTCACCAGCACACTGTGAAATGCTGCATGAACATTGATTGCACTGATCTAGATTGAACTGAATTTTGTTGAAAAGTGAGTTAAGCCTACAGGAAAAAAAAAAAAATCACAAGAAGAAAGGAAAAAAAAAATCTGCCTTAGGAAAGACAGAATAAGACCTCGGCCTGAGCATGAGTGGCAGGTGAAAACAGAACCCCACTTCTTAGTCCAGTCACTCTCTCCTCCGTGGCTCATCAGTAAAGAATCTGCCTGTCAATGCAGGAAACCTGAGTTCAATCCCTGGATCGAGAAGATCCCCTGGAGAAGGAAATGGCAACTCACTCCAGTATTCTTGCCAGGAAAATCCCATGGACAGAGGAGCCAGGCGGGCTATTGTCCATGGGGTTGCAAACAGTCAGACATGACTGAGTGATCTTCACTTTCACTTTCCATGAGGTTCAGGCAAGCCCTGTGGGGTGCAGATTTACTGCAATAAAAATAAATGTCTTATTGTAATAAATAGAGGGAACACCTTTGAAGAGACCCACCTGCAGTTTCAGAGCATGTGACTGCAGTAGAAAAATGGGCAAGGGCTTGGGATACTGACTGGGGTAGACAGCTTTCTTTTTTGATTGAAGATATCCACAAATTCACACCACACTTTGCTCCTTTATTTTAGTGATCTTTGTGATAACTTTTGTACTTGAAGGTGAAAACTATTAAAGCCCTCCAACCATCTATGAAAAACATTTTCTAAGAATTCTGCCATTGGCTGTTTGAGATAAGGATCTAGGCATATGCCGCGTGATTTATGTGTACAACTCAAACACTAACAATTCTAGGAATCTTTAGGAAGGCGCATTTTGTGCGTGTACTTGCAGGTATGGAAGAATCTAACTAAGAAGTAATTTGAAATATGTTAGTATTTGAGATGCCAGGGAAATAGAAACAGAAGAAAAACCTTTGAGAATGTAAAATTAAGAAATATTCTTAGATGCTATTGCTGTTATAAATATTTAGTGACTAAATATTTGCTAGCATGGTTCCAAGAGATTTACATAAATTAACCCATTTAATTCTTACAACAATGCAAAGAGGCAGGGACTATTATTATTACCATCTCACAGCTGAGGAAACTGAGGCATACTTTGAGTTGTTGGTCCAGTGAGGAAGTGGCAGAGTCACAGTTATAACCCAGAGAGCCAGGCCTCAGGGCCTGTGCTTACCACCACCCTGTATATTTGGTCATAAGTTAAATGCTAAATAACAAGAAAAAAAGT